AATACCACATCATTATTGAAATGGATTATCTCAACTAGGTTGCCACCAAGAAATTAGAAAAAATCATATGCATCAACTAGGGGGCGCGCACACACAAAAATAAAAATACCAACAACAAATGAAGGAATGAGAGGACCGTGAAAGTGAGATTAATAAGCAGGATGTAGCTTCCTTCCTTTTACCCCATCTAGAGCATAAATGAAGCCAAAAGAAGAGTATTCAGTGATGTTGGCATGCCACTTAAGCTAGTATGCAACTTGAAGATTCACTGAATCAACCAGATCAGACCAATGTGGGGTCTTATTATTAAAAACCAACCTGTTTCTGGTCATCCATAATACCCATAACAATGCCAACGGGATAGCTTCCCAGATAAGTTCACCTGCATGTTTGAACTTAAAGTCTTTCCACCAGGCGAAGAGATCAACGATTGAGGACGGTGATATACAGGTTAAACCCCACCGTTGGATAAATTTGGACCAAATCCACCAAGTGTTATAGCACTAGAGAAGCAAGTGACTAGCACAGTAGTCTCCACTTTACTCTTGCAGAAAGCACAAAGGCTATTGCACAGGAGATTCAAAGTAGGATGACTTCCAAACAACATTAACAGGGGAAGGCGGGTGGTGGCTAGTTTTGGATGGTAAAAAAAAAAAAAACTCAAAACTCAAAACGGAAGCACATATTTTGTGTTTTTATTTTTTGGCCAAATTTATAAACTGAGACCACTGATTTACAAATCAAAAATTTTACCAAATAAGTTTTTATTTGAGTTTTTAAAATTTTTGTAAATATAAACAGAAAACTGAAAGCGTAAGTGTTACCAAACGGTACCGTTCTATTTTGTAATTTTTTTTAAAGACCCAGACACTCTTCAGACATTTGGAGGATACACGTGTCTGTTGCTTGAACACACGTATCTATCGATTAGATACAAGTGAAACTAATTATAAGTTTGAACAAAACACCTCAAGTTACAATAATAAAACAATAACCATATAAATTTATAGAAATTAGTATTATATTACATTTTTTTATTATCTTTGAATGATATATTCATATATATATATATAACATATAATTAATATAAAAAATTATATATTTCATGCATGTCCCTTACATGCCGTGTCCTGCAATTTTTGAAAATCAACGTGTCGACGTATTCGTGTTATATCAGTGTTGGATCACGTGCCCGTGTCTATACTTGTTAGGTGTACATTGTTGGTGTCTAAAATTAAATTACCTCAATAAAAGTAGGGTACATGGCAAACCAGACATACGAATTATGCATGATTAAAGTTGGGCTCATAAACGGAAGTGAAAGGCTATAGGACGGAAAACTCAATTTAGATTACACAAAATAACAGTCGAGAAAATTATCCGAAGGGCATTAGTTAATGATACATTATGTTTGTTTGGGTGGACATGAACTTGGGATTGGACTAATAGTCCAATAAAATTATTAATCCGATGTTTGGTTAAACAATTAAAGTACGGACTAATTATTTTAAACTTGACTATTAGTTAAAATAGGATACATAATCCAACGGATTCGTAATCCTAGGACTATTAGTCATGGGAATACTAATCCAATCCGCCCAAACAAACATAAATACTCTTGACTACCTTCACTATCATAGAAAAGAAGAAAAACTATAAATATATTTTCTAGATACTAAAGTATCATTTTCTCTAATTCCTTATAATTTAACATTATATACTTTTCATAATAGAGTTTGTTTTTTTGGTTTTTTTTTTTAACATTTTTTTTATCATAAAAGTAAATGTCTTTATTATTAAAACAACATTTCATAGATTTATTTTTTTTCATATTTTAAATTCCCTTCAATAATGTTAAAATATAAGAAATTGGAGAAAATGGAAGTTTAGTCTCTAGCAAAATATATATTTTTTAATCTTTCTTATTTTGTATGATAGTGGAGGTTGTTAAGAGTATTTAATGCATCATTAATAAGTGCTCGTAGAGTATTTGTTAACAAGACTCTTATCCTAACAGTAGGTTGAGAATTTTGAATTTAAAAAGAGGGAAGCAAACATCAAACTAGAACACAGAGAGATATGAGAGTTGTGCAAAGCAATTTTTGTCCCTTTGCGTTTATAAGAAAACCAAAAGAATTGTTGTCTATAAATAGCAAGTTTTTTTTTTTTTTGGATCAACCAAAAAAAGGATTTTATTAATGATAGAAAATATGTACAAACAGAGAGAAAGAGTGCCAATATGAGGAAATACCACATCATTATTGAAATGGATTATCTCAACTAGGTTGCCACCAAGAAATTAGAAAAAATCATATGCATCAACTAGGGGGCGCGCACACACAAAAATAAAAATACCAACAACAAATGAAGGAATGAGAGGACCGTGAAAGTGAGATTAATAAGCAGGATGTAGCTTCCTTCCTTTTACCCCATCTAGAGCATAAATGAAGCCAAAAGAAGAGTATTCAGTGATGTTGGCATGCCACTTAAGCTAGTATGCAACTTGAAGATTCACTGAATCAACCAGATCAGACCAATGTGGGGTCTTATTATTAAAAACCAACCTGTTTCTGGTCATCCATAATACCCATAACAATGCCAACGGGATAGCTTCCCAGATAAGTTCACCTGCATGTTTGAACTTAAAGTCTTTCCACCAGGCGAAGAGATCAACGATTGAGGACGGTGATATACAGGTTAAACCCCACCGTTGGATAAATTTGGACCAAATCCACCAAGTGTTATAGCACTAGAGAAGCAAGTGACTAGCACAGTAGTCTCCACTTTACTCTTGCAGAAAGCACAAAGGCTATTGCACAGGAGATTCAAAGTAGGATGACTTCCAAACAACATTAACAGGGGAAGGGGGAAAGCCAAGTGAGTCTTCGAAAGTTTGGTAGCATAACTTCACAGAGAAAGATGAGGATGCTAACTATAAAACCTTGTCTGATGCATTTGATTTCAATTGGACTTTAGTCGACTGTGTTGCTATGGAAATAAATTCCTTCTATAAGACAGAAAGGAATTTTTCATGGTTGATAAGTTGAAAAGTCTGGCAAAGGTTTCCTGTAAGGGGTTTTCAAGATGAGGGGGTATCAACGTAATTAACACTATTTATCTTACGGCGCTTTATGCGTAATTTTGCGCCATTTTGACATGGTCTTGGAGAGAATTTCTTTGTATTTTTCAATAAGTTTCTCTATTTTGTTTTGTACTTTTTCATATTTTATTTTGGTTGTTGTTGGAAGATTGAAAGGAGCTCAAATAGGAAAGTAAATTTTCAACGGAGTAAACATGTCAATGTTGCTTACAGAATCTATAATCTTCCTCATATCCAAGTTAATCATGTAACTGGAAATGCGCCTACTGTTGGTCTTTGTAGATTGATTCTAACTATAGGATTAAAATGGTAAGAGGCAACCATGCAATGTTCGAAGGCTTCAACCTGCAAAATCAAAAGTGGTAGGCACATTGATCAATTCATTGGGACTATGGTTGAGATTATTTTTGGTTCCATCAAAGGTCACATTGATCAATTCATGATTACTGCTGATCAAATTGCAAAAGATACTACAAACAAAGATGTTAAAAAGGTTGAATAGAGGAAGATATCTTCCTTATGCTGCAAGGTGTGGATGTTATGAAAAGCAATATTGACATGCTGATGGTGTTTCCCCATTGTCTTGGAACTATAACAGTATCTGATAAGTCATGAATGCCACTCACAAGTGTGATCATAGAAATGGGAGTTCGTCATATACTGGGAGCTGATTTTTCATATCACATTCAATTGAAGTTCATTTTGGTTTTCCAATGAATATGTAATTAAGTACTGAAATTCATTGGTTAAGAAAGTGCTTCCTCACTCCAAGCCATACTGTTGCTTGATTTACAAACAAAAGTCACAAAGCTCCAATTTCAAAAAATTCCATAGGATTATGCTTCTATCCGCCATCAACTATACGTATTGCTTTTGTAATACACTTGGCACATAGAGATGCAAAAATATTGATCCAATTCCAGTGGGTTTTAGACAATTCCACATCTAGATATGTTGTCCTCTACCCCACTTTTAATTATGTGTGGATCATCATTGATCAATTCATGCTTCTGTTGCATCCTAACATGATCATAGCAAGTAACTCCACCTGCTATTCTAAGGGTTTACTTTAAAGTTCTTTGTGTTTGTACCACTGGACAAACTGATTCCCACGAAAGAGAGAAGAAATTGAAGGTTCACATGAAATAATTGAACTTGAAAATTTCTATCTAGTGATTAAATTTGAGTTTGAAATTGAATGCACCATTCTTCATGCTGAATCAAGCAGTGTTCTATAATCTATGCAGGCAACATGGTTTCGTGTTGTTTTCTCTTGCCTGTCACTGTCTAAGAAATGCATGAACTTACTCCAGACATGCTTGAAAGACTTAAAAATCTCGAGCACTATAAAGCTGATTAATTTTCATAATAGCAAAATTCGAAAGGCACAGAAAATTAACTTTATTGATCAATGAAATTAAGCTAATAAATTAAATAACGACACAAAATTGTCTTATTGTCAAAGCTTCAACAACACTAATAAGCTTTGTTCTCCCCATTTTTTCATTCATTAATAAGCTCTGTTCATTGGTAGATTTCTTCGGCACATCAATGAATACATCCAGATTTGACTTTCTTTAGATTATGCTCCTTCATATTTTATGGCTGTTAAAAGCTACAATGGCATGTAAGCTCTTCTTGTAATTGATCACTTATAAGTTGGTTTATAGGCATGACAAATCAATGAAATGAGAAACAAATTCATTCAAATGCTGAGTTCCAATATTCTGTCTGGAAGATAACTATTGAAACAATGGGAGAGCTTTTTGCAATGTTTGTCTTACCACAAATTCAAAATCCAAACACAGATGAGGGGCAAAACCAAAGAATCCTAAGACAACTTTTGCAATACATTTTCAAATGCTAAAAAAACAAAAATAAGTTTAAAAAAAAAATATAAACACAATTTTGACTAGATTTCTACTTACCCCTTTGTCCAGGAATCAAAATGATTCATGCAAATTTTTTCTAGTAGATAGCCCAGTCAAGGTAACAGGATAGTTCAGAAGTTCAAACAAATTTCATTGTCATCAACTTTGGGAAAAATATCTTGTTTCTAAGGTTTGATTCACCAAGTATTTGAGAAACTAATCTCCAGAATTACTTACCCCAAAAAAACTAATCTCCAGAATTCCATGTCAACAACCCTGATGGAGCTCCCCATTTTTTGCTTCAAAAACTGCTTTACTAGTTGCATATTTTTGCTTTCGAGTCAAATGCAAGACAAATCATAAATCACACCAGAACATCAATGGTAACGTTAAAGTTACAAATGATTTCTCTATTATAATTCTGATAAAATAGAAAAACCAGAAGTGATCAGCAGCACTCCATGAAAAACACAAGACAAGTTCATCCTCATCTTCATCTGCTACCGGTTATTGGCTTGATCAATTGCAATCTGCTTCATTGAACAATAAGAGTCAAACAAAATACAATGAGTTTGAACAAATAATAACATAATTACTATCACAACATCATGATGGATTCTCCAAAATTTTGCGGAGATTCTAGTGACATCCTACTCATTAATAGTTTATACTTCTTAAACACTAGTCATTATTTTTTACACAAAATTATCTTGCATACTACAAATTTATCTTGCACCTAGCAGACATAATTACACCCTTAAATCCATCATATCAAAGTTGTCCTCCCCTTATTTTCGACACATCTTTCTTATATATCTCTTTGTTTTTTTGTTTTTTTTTTTATCTGCAAAAAAACTTTATTGATGAACAAAAAGACACTAAAGCAAACAGCAATAAAGAAAAGGCTGTTAGAATGTGTTAGAATATACCTTAATGTATTTTGATGTATATTCAGTATTCTTACTTGATGCCTTAGGGCACTCTTGTAATTATGGTGATGATTTAATATAAAAGAGGATGAGATACCACTCATACCTCAATTTTTTTCTCTTCTCAAAATTAACATGGTATCAGAGCCACTCTAAAACCCTAGCAACCACAACCTACAACCACCTTCACACCACCACCGAACCACCATCCCAGCTGCAGTCCACATCACCTCAGTCGCCATCTCCCTAGGGTTACGCCAGGACCACTCACAGCCTCCTAGGGCCCCGATAGTCCTAAGTCGCATCCTTCTAGGACGTCGGAAGCCCTAGCCGCAGCCTTCGAAGGCTTCGCTTGCACCCAAGGGTAAGTCGGAGCTCCTCTTTTTCCCAGCCCAGGTTTGTCGACAGGCTTGGAGGTTCTCCCTCAGGCTGTCGATAGCCACTCAAGAGCTCTCTGGTTTAGTCGGCTCTCTGGTTCTCCGTGATTCAGTCGTCGATCTCTTAGGTCTGGGTTACGTTGGTCTTATTCGGTGATTAGTGCTGCTTTATTAATGTAGTTTCTTTTCTCTCTCTCTCTCTCTCTCTCCTTTCTTTTTTGTCTTCTTCTCAAAAAAAAAAAGGAAAAAATAATAATAATAATAATGTTCTATTAAATTCCATTTGTTCTGTTTGATATGTTCTACCATCTTCCGGGTTTGTGATTAGACCAGTGTTTGTTGTGAGGGTTCCATAGTAGAGTATTCATGGCAGAATTGACTAGTGAGTCTACCACTACACAGCCTACTCTTCAGGGCGTGAGTCCTGGTTTGCCTACTACTATGATTGACTCCCTCAACCATGGCAAGAAAATCACCACCTCTCTCTTTAATGGTCAGAATTATCTAGCGTGGTCGCAGAGTTTGACTATATTTTTGAAGAGCAAAGGGAAGCTGGGGTATGTTGATGGGCGCGTTCAGGCCCCTAGCCCCACAAATCCAAGTTATGATCAGTGGGAAATTATCAATTCCCTTATAATGGGCTGGTTGATACATTCCATGGTTCCGGAGATTGGTGAAGGATACTTGTCTATGGACACGGCACAGGATATTTGGGAGGCTGTGGCCACTACGTATTCCCGCAAAGGCAATTTTTCACAGACTTTTGAGTTGCGACGCTCCATTGACAGGTCTATCCAGGGTGAGATCACTATCCTCCAGTATTTTACTTTCTTTAGCAATGGGTGGAAGAGACTTGATCATCTTCAGGACTACAAGCCTGTCTGTTCCACTAATTCTGCTGGGTACCGAAAATTTGTTGAACAAGTGCGGGTCTTCAAGTTTTTAGAAGGTCTGAATGTGGAGTTTGATCCTGTTAGGAGTCGTGTGCTTGGTATGGATGTGTTTTCTTCTCTCCAAGAAGCGTTTGCTAATGTGCAGAATGAGGAGAGTCATTGTTCTGCTATGCTTCCGTCTGTCTCTTCTGATCAATCTTCCCTGGTTTCTGCACCCTCTCGAGATGGGGATCGTGGTTCCCGTCCCCCTTCTCAGAAGGATACCCTTTTCTGTGACTATTGTCGTCGCCCTCGCCACACCCGTGAGACTTGTTGGAAGTTGCATGGGCTGCCATCTGGAGGTTGTGGAGATCGTTCTGGGTCTCGAGGGGGTCACTTGGGTCAGTCTAGAGGCCAAGGGTCCAATGCCCGAGCTCATCATTCTGATACAGTTGAGCCACAGTCCCCCGCTCCAGTTGTTTCATCTGCTGATATATCTGGGTTTTCTACTTCTGAGTTGGAGGTTGCTCTTCGCCACTTGCTAGACCGTCGGGCCTCTGGTTCATCTTTAGGTAACTTTGCTCATTCAGGTAGCTTAGCTTCGTCTACAAGTGTTTTTCTATCTCATCAAACGTTGCCTTGGATTATCGATTCTGGTGCTTCCGACCATATGTCTGGGACTTCTGATTTGTTCTCCACATACACCCTTTCTTCAGGGCAGGATAAAGTTCGAATTGCTGATGGTACCATTTCTTCTGTGTCCGGGAAAGGTGTAATTCATGTCACTGTTTCCCTTCCTTTGTCTTCTGTACTACATGTTCTCGATTTTAGTGTTAATCTTTTATCTTTGAGTCGTATTACTCGGGACTTGAATTGTAGTGTAACCTTTTTTCCTGATCATTGTCTGTTTCAGGACCTTATCACGAGGAAGATGATTGGCAGTGGTAGAAACGCGAATGGTCTCTATATTGTGGATCAAGCTAACAAGCAGGCTCATTCATCCACTCAATTACCATCTACCAAGGAAGACCTATGGTTGTGGCACCGTCGTCTTGGGCATCCATCTTTTTTGTTACTTAGGCATCTTTTTCCTTCCGTTTTTTTGAAAAATAATGTTTCTGAGTTTCACTGTGAGTCGTGTCAACTTGGAAAACAACACAGAGCTTATTTTGCTCCTTCTATTAATAAAAGTTTAGTTTCTTTTTCATTAATTCATTCTGATGTATGGGGTCCTTCTCGTTTTGTGTCTTTAAAGGGTCACCGATGGTTTGTCACCTTTATTGATGATTGTTCTAGGACCACTAGGGTGTATCTTATGAAGGACAAATGTGAAGTTTTTTTCGTGTTTCAAAATTTTCATAAAATGATTTGCACTCAGTTTGGAGCGGTTGTCAAAATTCTGCGTTCTGATAATGGGGGTGGGAGGAATATATTGACTCTGGCCTTGCCAGCTATTTTGCCACTCATGGTATTATTCACTAAACTTCTTGTACCAATACTCCTCAACAAAATGGTGTTGCAGAGCGTAAAAATTGCCATCTTCTTGATATTGCGCGTTGTCTGTCTTTTGAAATGCGTGTTCCTAGATCATATTGGGGGGAAGCTGTTCTCACTGCAGCCTTTCTCATCAATCGTTTGCCCACCCAAGTCCTCCACAAACACACTCCTCTTCAGGTTTTGTTAGGGTCCCACTCGTTTGGTTTCTCCATTCCTCCCAAAACCTTTGGGTGTGTGTGCTTTGTTCATAACCACTTTCCTACTCGTGGTAAGTTGGATCCTAGGTCTCTTCGGTGTGTCTTCCTGGGTTACCCTGTCACACAAAAGGGCTACAAGTGTTATCATCTCCTTTTTCAGAAATGGTTTGTCTCTATGGATGTGTCTTTCTTTAAGTCTCAGTCCTACTTCCTGTCCTCCTTGGTGTCACAATCATCCCTTCAGGGGGAGCCTTGGCGTGAAGCAATTCCTGTGTCACTACCATCAGTGATTGAGCAGGTTGAGAATGTTAATGTTGACCCAACTATTGAGAATGTTGAGCCTGAATCCACAGTGAAATGCGAAAAAGTTTATGTCAGGGACAAGGATAGAAAACAAGTTACTTGGGTACAAGAGACCAATTCGGATTCTCCACTGCTATCTTCTTCTCTTGATGAGTGTCCAGAATCCTCTTCTTCTGATGAAACTCCAGGTAACTCTATTCTTTCTGATCTAGATATTCCCATTGCTAAAAGGAAGGGGGTTAGGTCTTGTACTAACCATCATATTTCTCATTTTGTCTCATACACTAATCTGTCTTCTTCCTATAAAGCTTTTCTGTTTAAAGTTTCTTCTGCGAGTCTTCCTTCTAATTTTCAGGATGCTCTTTCTACTCCTGAATGGAAGCATGCCATGATGGAGGAGATGAGAGCCTTGGCTAAAAATGGCACTTGGGAATTGGCTGAGTTACCGAAGGGCAAACGACCTGTTGGATGTAAGTGGGTGTACATAGTGAAGCACAAGGCCGATGGTTCAATTGAATGTTATAAGGCAAGATTGGCGGTCAAGGGCTTTGCACAGACTTATGGAGTAGACTACCAGGAGACATTTGCTCCTGTTGCTAAGATGAACTCTGTCAGAGTCCTTCTCTCCCTTGCCTCTAATCTCGACTGGCCGCTCCATCAATTTGATGTAAAGAATGCCTTCCTTCATGGAGATTTGGAAGAAGAAGTGTACATAGACATTCCCCCAGGCTTTGAGGATGTTAAAACCAAAGGAAAAGTGTGCCGACTACGCAAGTCACTTTATGGACTCAAACAATCGCCTAGGGCTTGGTTTGAGAGGTTTACTCAGGCTATGCTGCGATATGGTTTCAAACAGAGTCAAGCTGATCATACTTTGTTCGTGAAACACTCCTTACATGGTAAGACGACAGCACTTATTGTTTATGTGGATGATATTGTACTCACAGGGGATGATGTTGAGGAGGTTCCTCGGTTAAAGGAGTATTTGGCCAATGAGTTTGAAATCAAAGACTTAGGCAGCTTGAAGTACTTTCTCGGTATTGAAGTTGCTCGGTCCAAAGATGGCATCTTCATATGTCAAAGAAAGTATGTGCTTAATTTGTTACAAAAAACTGGGATGCTTGGGAGTAAAGCCTGCGATACACCACTAGAGCCTGGAATGAAGCTTAGTGAGGATCAAGGAGGCGAGCTTATAGACAAGGGGAGATGTCAGCAGCTAGTGGGTAAACTTATCTACTTATCCCATTCGCGTCCTGACATTGCTATCGTAGTGAGTATGGTTAGTCAGTTTATACATGCTCCATGTGTGATTCATTTAGAGGCAGTTATGCGAATTATGAGGTACTTGAAGTCTTCTCCGGGAAAGGGTCTCTATTTCTCTAAACATCTCATCTTAGTGTAGAGGCATATACAGATACTGATTGGGCTGGATCAGTCACTGATAGAAGGTCAACCTCTGGCTATTGTATCTTTGTTGGAGGAAATCCAGTTACTTGGAGAAGCAAGAAACAGAATGTAGTTGCACGGTCAAGTGCAGAGGCTGAATTCAGAGCTGTGGCTCAAGGTGTATGTGAGCTATTATGGATTAGACTACTTTTGAGGGATTTGGGGATTCATCAGACAGATTCTATGCGGCTATATTGTGACAATACGGCAACCATTAATATAGCTCACAATCCAGGGTTCAGCATGACAAGACCAAGCATGTGGAGATTGATAGGCATTTTATCAAGGAAAAGCTCACTAGTGGCACTATATATACGCCATTCGTGAGGTCTGGGAACTAACTGGCTGATGTTCTTACCAAAGGATTAGGGAATAAACCATTCCGTGACATTCTTAACAAGCTGGGCATGCGAGATATCTTTGCATCAGCTTGAGGGGGAGTGTTAGAATGTGTTAGAATATACCTTAATTTATTTTGATGTATATTCAGTATTCTTATTTGATGCCGTAGGGCACTCTTGTAATTATGGTGATGATTTAATAGAAAAGAGGATGAGATACCACTCATACCTCTAATTTTTTCTCTTCTCAAAATTGACAAAGGCTAGTGTAAATAGCATCATAGCCGAACTTTTTAATCCTAACTAGGTTGGCACCGAGAAAGTAAGCCCAATCATTTAGTAAAAAAGAAAAAGAAAAAGAAAAAGAACAAGATACAAAGAAAAAGAAACAAGATATATCTCTCTTTGAAGCTCTTTGTCATTGTAGCCACCACTATCGACTACCATCCATTACAGAGTACCACCAACTGTAGTCTCAACAAAAAGCGAGTAAAACATTCGTGCATGAACTGACAACGTAAAATTATACAAGCTCGATTTGAATTTGGTTGATTGATTTCAATGTTAGTAAAATGTAAATCCCTTCATGCACAAATTGAGATTGAAGTGGAGAGAGAAAATGAAACTAATCAAGATTCAGGTGGATAGACAAAATTAAATTACCCAGTCTTCAAATATATACACTTGCTCATGCAGGTAGAGTATTTTATTTTTACAGATATATATATATATATATATATGAAAAAATATATATAATTTTGGTATAACAATAAAAGTTTCCTTTTTATAATTTTTTTTTAAAATAATACTTTCCATGACCAAATTACAATTAATTACGTAATTTTGATGAACTTACCTGATGCTAAATATTATGTCAGTAAGTTTATAAAAACTGAAACAAACATCACCTGAAAATGGAAAATTAAATGATGAGTCAGTAAAAAATTGAAATTGGAACATACTACAAATGCATGAATTGGATTATAATACAGGGAAGAAAAAAAAAAAAGTAGATAAAACTTAGAAAAAAAAAAACACAAAAGTGAGAAATATTAATGAAGGGAAAAGTAAACCATGAAACCAGTAGTTACTGGCTTACCTGATCTACCTGTAGCACAGTGCAAGCAGCATCTGCAGCATATTTGAGAGCAAAAAACCTGCAAACAGAAAAATAGTTTGAATCACATAAAATGAGTCAAAGTTTTAGCATGGCATGCATACCGATCCCTCATCTAAGTAACAGTGAACCCGCATTTCCTGCCATGTATTTTCAGAACAACTCAGGCAGGGTATATTAGTGTTAAAGGCCAGCACAAGTCCGACCTTGCCTCAGCTTCAAAATACTTTGGACAAATACTTCAGGTGTACAGAGAATATGATCAAAAAAGTTAAGGTTGGATCACAACAACCAAGTTAATAGATGTCAATTACTTTAGTATGAAAATTTAAAAACAAAAAGCTAACAAATATAGTAGTTAAAAGTCCCCCTAAGTTCATAGCCAACAGACCATACACCAAAAAGTTGATACAGATACTACATACAAGCAAACAATGATTTTTGGGTAAATTATGCAAATGGTCCCTATAGTTTACACAATGTGCCAATTTAGTCCCTTTTGTTTTAATTTGCTCGATTTTACCCTTTAATTTAATGGACTGTGTCATATTGGTCCAATAAATAACGACTGTTAAGTTTGGTAGAAAGACAGTCGTTATGTGCTCAAACAATGTGTCAATATGATTATTATAGTTTACACGATGTGTCAATTTGGTCCATATTTTAATTTGCTCGATTTTGACATGAACCAAATTGACACATCATTTGAGTTTCCGTCCATTAAACCTAACGGCCGTTCTTTATTGGACCAATATGACACAATTCGTTAAATTAAAGGGCAAAATCAAGCAAATTAAATTAACAAGGACCAAATTGATACATCGTGTAAACTACAAAACCATTTGCATAATTTATCCATGATTTTTATGCCATATATACCATGCTATATTTTGACAACAACAAGCTTTTGACCATACCATTGAAGAAGCCCTTAGAGGGAAAGAATAAAGGGCTTTAAGACAGTGAGAAGTAGCTTACTTGGTGACATGCAGGTCCCAAATATTCATGGGAGAGACATCCTTGCATACACCTTCCTCAAAGTCATTGCCAACCTTGGTGTTTCCAGATGCGTGTTCAGCATACAAAGAATATATTATTTCCATTGCGTTCAGGCTAGCATTCTTAGCCAGGGTTTTAGGTACCATCTCAAAGCTCTCAGCAAATTTTGCAATAGCATATTGATCCAATCTGCAAAGAAAGAGTGTCAAATCCTATCACCAAGCAAGCGGAAACACTACGCACTGTGAATCTTTATGCAAAAGAAGGAAAACCCTAAGTTCACAATCATTAGTTTAGTAGAAGAAATATCCAGTGCACAGGTAATAATAAAACGTACGATTTTGAAATATGGCCATTAGCAGAGATAAGCACTAATCAACAAATCAGAAAGGTAACATCTATTTTGCACAGACATCTTAGACATGGTTATCAAAATTGTGATCCAGATCGTAGGATCGTAAGATCCCAAACTGCCAAAACGATCCAAATCGTTGTAGAACTGGTGTTATAGCCGGATCGCAAGTAAGATAGTATGGGATCATGTAGGATCATAGGTGGGATCGTAAGTAAGATGTTGGGTCATTGAGTTTTCACCTTCTAATGCACATCATCCTTGTTTGTATTTTTATCTTATTTTTAATAGAAAGCAAAATCTTATGCATGAGACCCTCTCACCAATCCTACGTAGGATACTGCTTTTAACAACAATGATCTTAGAAAGTGTAAAATAGTTGTCTCACATGATAAATGGGGGTGGAAATGACACTAATATATGTTGAATAAGCCTGCTGTAAGATGAGTAACAACTAAGAAAAAGCACAATTTTGACAAGCATGATCAAAACAGAATTCAAGCTTCTTCTTTGGAACCTCCCCAAGATACTGTAATCATCTGCCATAATGTTAAATAGATCTCAAAAAAAGTGATGTAGCATGTTGGACATGCTAAAAAGATACATAGACACTTCACCCAACCCCGAAGTATAGGAGAACATTAAATTAGGCACTCCCACCTCATCAGCCCCCCAACGCCCAAGGCAAATCCACACATAATCACTAACTTACCTCGGCATAAACATCACAAACATTCTCGCCCGTGCATCACATCACAATATATACAGCATAACATATCTCAACATGGCATATCTCATAACATACCCATGCATCAAATCTATCTATCTATATATGGAGAGGAATCTACGTACCCTGTTTCCTTAAAAGAAAACTCCTTCAGTCTTCTAGCCAACTCAATTTCAGTAGCTGCAGCTCCAGGTACTATACGGCTGTCCCTGCACATTGCTTGGCACAAAGATGCATAAAGCCACATTCAGATTAGCTCCTTAAGGTCCAGTAGAAACTGATGCAACAGTCTTTTTTAAACATCAATATGCAACACTTTTTATGAAGTGAAGAATAGATTCAAATAAAAATGACAGGTAAAAGATGACCTACCTAAAATAAGTATCATAGATGTGTTAGACAGAATTACCTTGTATGTATTCACACCATCATCAACTGCTCTTTCAATGTCAACCAATATACTATGGGTACTTCCTCGTAGGACCACAGTGCATACAGAGTTTCCACCTTCTTCATTACTCACAATGGGGACCTATTATTTATTAGATATAAAGATCAAGTTAGGGAAGCAGAAGATGAAGAAACATAAGGAAAAAGCCCAACAAAATTAAAACCAAAAGCAACTTGGTCATACCCTAACACCGCCAATTTCCTCCACAGACACAGAATCAACGTACCCCAAATCATCTGGATTTGGTGGACCAAGCTTCAACTGTTTCCAAAATTAATAAGAACATGAGAAAGAGCTCAAATAAATTTTTTCCCCGAATGAAATGCCAATGTGCTAGTATGCTTACAAGGGCAACAACACCAGTTGTATGGCAAAATCGGCGCAGTTCAAATTTGGAACTGATTTTTAAAAACATAAGCCTGTGAATAAATTTGTTGTGAATCAGATTAGTAAAACAGGCTTAAGAGATCCTCCCGAAGAGCATGTGTAAGGTAGTAGCACTACATAATAGAAATTGCCTGTATAGCACTTGGCTTCAAATTGGGTGGGGAATGACAACGTTGCATTATGCATACCAATCATAATAAAATCAACAGAAAAAAGAAAAAAAAAAGAAAGAAAAGAAAAAGAAATAAAATAATAATTAAAAAAAAAAACAAAGTCCAATTAGTATACATTAATGTGTGTTTAAGAGGGAAAAGATTGAGTACAACCTAACCTTTGGCATAATGCACAAAGTGGTACTCCCAAGACTAAAACTCATAACCTCAAGGTTATTAAGCCAAGTCTTAACCTCAAAGATGTAGATGATATTGTCTAATGGACAAGGATACACAGACACACTTACCAAAAATATTATACATACAGAAATAGGAATACAAGAGAGGATGTAAGAATGATAGCTGATGTCTGTAAATACTTCACTGGAGGCTTATTTAGGGGACATTATTCACTTCACCAACTACAAAAGTGGAAGACAAAAATATTGAGCTATAATAGCAACTGTTCATTAAAAATCAATTGCTGCTTCAGAAGGAAAAGAATCTTGTATGCCTCCAAATATACACAATACCCTTACAGTGTTGCCTTAGCTATGATTCTAATATGCTGCATATAAGCAGTGAGAATCATACACATGCAATAAGGACCATTCCAACTGGCAAAATAATTGTGAACATGGAGCATTAACCATCTTTCAAAACTATTCAAACCACAATTGTTGGTAAAAACTTTTGGCCATAGGTTCAATAGAAACATGATAGCTGACATGGGTATGCCCATAAAGGATATAGCTCACCACTTAGAGCCCAATACATAATTCAAATACTAAAGCCCAATGTTCCTGGAACTCAACGTGGCATTAAGAACCAATAACATCTAAACACGTGGCAAGAGAAGGACAAGCCACATAAGCAGACAAAGATCCTGCAAAGTTATTGCACTGCACATCAGCCATTAATAGAGTTCCTTACAGCATTTATTGTGATAACCCCTCCCCGTCAGGACAGAACGGCTTCACCATGAACAAGGTAAGCTAGAGCATAGACTTTCGGCCAACGTGACAGATCGGAAGGGACAACAAAATGATTAGCAGAGGATATAAGCAGGAATTGAAGACAAGGAAAAGGTTAAGCTTTCTATCACTAATCTATCTCTACATTCCATCTCTCTTTCTAACTTGCTTGTCGGAGGGTTCACTGGGGGACTCCCTGTTCCCCGTTGAACTCTTGTGCAGGTCTCTCTGTGGGCTTGGTACTTCGGACACCGGTTTCGGAAGCGTGGATCAATCCGACCCGTTCCATCTGAAACACGCTGTATTATCAGTTGGCGCCGTCTGTGGGAACCCTTTTGCTCCGCGCGCCAGTTGTGTTCATTCACCAAGGTGGATGGTCACAACTAGATCCATGGCTTCTCACCATAATGTTGCCGACCACCAAGCCGACCCTCCTAATCCAAACAGCCCGTCACAGTACTTCACAGAACTTACCAACAGCATCAATTGCTTAGTAGAGCAAAACCAAGCCCTGATCAATGCTTTGCTTCAAAGAGACCTTCCCGTCCCTCCTCATCCACCTCAAGATATCCCACCTAACCAAGAACGAGCTTCGAGCCATTCTATCCAATAGCCCTATCCACCCAACTTGGAAGGCTTGCGACCCCCTCCCCCAGATATGAACCCACCTCCCCGGGCCCCACATCCATCAGCCCCGGTACCCATCCTCGAGGGAGAGGCCAGTAGTGTCCAGCCTCTGCTGCATTCCAGTGGTGACGTCCCTTTTCGGGATACGAAATTCCGAGCCATGAAGCTCCAGCTCCAAGGAGTCATGCAGAACATACAGAATAAACCATCCACCACAGCCAACTCACCATTCGTTGCCTCCATCCGAGACAAACCTCTACCTCCTAAGTTTAAAATGCCCTTGGTCGACTCTTTCGACGATACAACGGACCCAGTCGATCACTTGGAGACCTACAGGACCCTCATGATCCTCCATGCATTCCCTAATGAAATCATGTGTCGGGCTTTCCCCGTAACACTTAAGGGATCGGCTCGACTGTGGTTTAGTCAGCTACCGACGGACTCTATCTCTACCTTTTAGCACCTGAGTGACTCCTTCCTCAGCCACTTCATTGGTGCCCAATGCCAGCGGCGTCCGGCAACCCAACTCCTCAACAACCGTCAGTCGGAAGGAGAGTCGCTGCGCAGCTTTGTCACCCGCTTCAACACCGAGGCCTTGCAGGTGGCAGAAAATGATGACAAGGTCATTCTCAAGGCTTTCATGGCCGGTCTACGATCATCTGATTTCCTTTTTTTCCTCTTCAGAAACCCCCCGACCTCCATGGCAACCTTACTTTCCAAAGCCCAAAAATACATAAACACCAAAGATTCCCTAGCCGCTCGGCAAGATCCTACAGCCAAAAACCCGACCCCCAGAGAGAAGAGAAAAGACTCTGAAACCAGAAACACCTAGTACACTCACCAAACACCTCAGTATACCGACCGACCAGCCCGAGCCGACTGGTCGGCACCAACCCGACCGCCCAGCCAATTCGAACGATATACACCCCTCAATTCCCCCATAGAACAAGTCCTGAACCAGATCCAACGAGATTATCGCCTAAAGTGGTCCCAACCGTCACGGTCTCCTTCCAACCGGCAAGACCAGTCCAAATACTGCCGCTTTCATCAGGACCATGGCCATAATACAGAGGAGTGTGTTAACTTCAAAGACTAGGTCGAGGGCTTGATATGTCAGGGACGTCTCAGTCGGTTCACGGAAGCTCGCCAACAGCAAAGGCAAAGAACTGAACCTATCAGAAACAACCGCCGACGCAACCCTCCTCGACAACTCGCACAACCTAACCAAGGTCATGATCACCCTCCATAGCAACCCCGGGCACAAGGTGACCCTGCCCTCCCTGTTGGAGAGATCAGAGTTATTGCTGGCGGGCTTGCTTGTGGAGGACCATCCCGCTTGGCTCAGCGGGCAAAACTCAGAAAAATAAGGTAGGGCTCAAACAAAGAAGTTGCCACATTGGACCGCCCTTCCAAACAGCCCAAGTAGTGGATAGAGCCCATCACCTTTACGGAGGCTGACTGCATAGGCATCCGTTACCCCCATAACGACCCCCTCGTCATCTCTGTCCTCATTTCCAATTTCAAAGTCAGACGGGTTCTCGTCGACAACGACAGTTCTTCAAACATCATCTTCCTAAATGCCTTTCACCAGCTCAAGGTCGGGGAAGAAAGTCTGTCCCCTCTCCAAACTCCATTGGTCGGTTCTACTGGAGATCGGGTGACCTCCATAGGCTTCATCGATCTTCCCATCACAATCGGAGAATACCTGCGGTAGACCACAAAGTTGCTCACCTTCCTCGTTGTCGACTGTCCCTCTGCTTATAACATAATCCTCGGTCGCACCGCCCTAAATGCTTTCCAAGCTGTCACATCCATTTTCCATCTTGCCGTCAAATTCCCCACCGATTTTGGGGTCGACACGGTGAAGGGAGAGCAGACCGTGGCCAGAGAATGTTACATCGCTTCACTTAAAGAGGTCAAGCTAAAAGAGGCTATGATTATTGAAGGACTCGATGTCAGAGACGAAGACGAGCTGGTCAGAAGGAAACCAGTGGAAGAGCTCGTCGAGGTCCTCATCGATCCCACCAACCCAACAAAAACAGTCAAGATCAACAGCCAACTACTCCCTCAAGCCAAGGCTGATCTTACAACCCTCCTAACTGAATGTAATGATGTGTTTGCCTGGACCCATTTCGATATGCCAAGTATGGATCCCTCCTTCATCACTCATTATTTGAGTATCGAACCCCATTTCCGACCCTTCTGCCAGAAACAACGCATCTTCCACTCGGAATGCAACTCTCTTATTGCCTCAGATAAGCTACTGGCAGCACAGTTTGTCAAGAACGTGGACTACCCCAGGTGGCTGTCGAATGTGGCCTTGGTCTGTAAAAACAACGGTAAATGGCGACTCTGCGTCGATTACTCCGACCTCAATTAAGCTTGACCCAAAGACAGTTATCTCCTTCATCGCATAGATCTGCTTGTTGACGCTACGGCCGATCATCAAATGCTCAGCTTCATGGATACCTTCTCCGGGTACAACCAAATTTTGATGCACCCGTCTGACCAGGAACACACCTCCTTCATCACCGACCGGGGAACCTACCATTATCGTGTCATGCCATTTGGGTTGAAAAATGCCGGAGTCACTTACCAATGGTTGGTCAATGCCGTCTTTCATCATCAGATAGGCCGGAACATGGAAGTATACGTCGATGACATGCTAGTCAAGAGCAAACTCTCCACTGACCATCTGGTCGACCTGCGAGAGACCTTCGGCACCCTACGAAAGTATCAAATGAAGCTCAATCCAGAGAAATGCGCCTTCGGCGTAGGATCTGGGAAATTCTTGGGTTTCATGGTCAGTCAGCGAGGCATCGAAGCTAACCCCGAAAAGATCAAGGCCTTGATAGAAATGCAGTCATCCAGAACGGTTAAAGAGGTTCAAAGGCTTACTGGCAGAGTTGCCGCCCTCAGCCACTTCATTTCTCGCACAACGGACAAATGTCTTTCCTTCTTCAAAGTTCTTTGGCAGGCTTTCGAGTGGACAATCGAATCCGAAGAGGCTTTCCAACAATTGAAGCAGTGCATGGCCAACCCCCCCTTACACTCCCAGACGCTCACGAGTGAGCCCTTTTTTCTCTATTTAGTCGTATCAGGCACCGCAGTCAGTGCGGCCCTCATCAAGAAGGACAGTTCAGTACAGCGCCCAGTTTATTACATTAGTCGGGCTCTCAGGGGCGCAGAACAGAACTACCCATTGCTAGAAAAAATGTCCTTGGCCTTGGTCACCGCCTGAAGAGGACTCCGACATTACTTCCAAGCCCACTCCATAGTGGTCCTCACTGACCAACCTTTGAAGACGATAATGCAACAACCAGAGCTGTCCGGCAGACTTATGCAATGGCCAGTCGAGCTCAACCAATTTGACATCTCCTACCGACCTCAAATGGCGATCAAAGGGCAAGCTGTGGCCGATTTTATCTTGAAATTCACT